TATATATATATATATATATATATATATATATATATATATATATATATATTAATTACACACACACACGTTGTTTTCTTCTTCTCTTATAGAAAGGTGACCCCACACTGAGTGTGCTGGAGCTGTGGGGGGCGGAGTATCAGGAGAGCAACGCCCTGCTGCTCCGTCCGTCGGACAGGGACTTCCTGGAGAGGGTGTGTCAGAGGGAGAAGTGTCCTGTTGACTTCGTGGGAAACATCACTGGAGACGGGAAGGCACGTTTCAGCCTGGATCAAGTCAATAAATGTGAATTAATTATACTGATCAATCAGTATTCATTTTAATCTCATTTCTCCCTCAGATTGTGCTGGTGGATGACGAGGGAGGCAGTGATTGGGCAGACGGGGCCCGCTGTCCCGTGGACCTGCAGCTGGAGTGGGTCCTGGGCAAGATGCCACAGAAGGAGTTTAAGATGGAGCGTCTGGCACCGACTCTTCAGCCTCTGTCTCTTCCTGCCGGGCTCAAAGTCAAAGACGCTCTGGACAGAGTTCTGCGTTTGCCTGCTGTGGCGTCCAAACGCTATCTCACCAACAAGGTGTGCCTCTCACCCCTGTCTCACATCGTCTTTGTCTTTTTATGAGTACGTCTGTGCAGACTCTGTTGCCCCCCCTCCCACCTCTCAGGTGGACCGGTCTGTGACGGGGCTAGTTGCCCAGCAACAATGCGTCGGCCCTCTTCACACCCCATTGGCCGACGTGGCTGTCGTCGCCCTGTCGCCGTTCAGCCTAGAGGGAGCAGCCACGGCCATCGGCGAGCAGCCAATTAAAGGCCTGGTGTGTCCTGCAGCCGGGGCTCGCATGGCTGTCGGAGAGGCTCTGACCAATTTGGTGTTTGCCAGAGTCACAGCTCTGAAGGTGAGCGGGGAATCACAGATACAACGGATCACAATAGTCCTTTTACAATGGATAGAGCACACTGTCTACCTAATGAAATGACAACTATCTTCAGGTTACATTCGTTTCAGATTACACACGATTTGTATGAAAAGGGGAGACACTGCTTGTGAATAGGGTCGAAATTTTAACTAATAGATATCACCATGAAACTGACCCAGTTGATTACCTACAATGTTATGAAATGTCATGTTTAAATATGCAAATGAGGCATTCTTTAATGCTGACTTTTGGTGAATTTAGGATAAATCTACAGATGTAAATAGACGGAGTAGTAAAATAAAAACCTAAATGTGTATTTTGGATGTTTTCTTACTCGCTAGTCTGAAAGAACACATGTAATGGGAGCAGAATAATGTTTTTGTCTGTCGTGTCTCACCTTAAAATAATTGTCCAGGATTTCGGTAACTCTCTCGGTCGTGTGTTTCAGGATGTGAAGTGTAGTGGAAACTGGATGTGGGCCGCCAAGCTGCCCGGTGAGGGCGCCCGTCTGTGGGACGCCTGCAAAGCCATGTGTGAGGTCATGGGACAGCTGGGCGTGGCCGTCGACGGGGGCAAGGACTCTCTCAGTATGGCCGCCAGAGTGGGGAAAGAGACGGTCAAGGCTCCGGGTACGCTCACTGAATACGTTTCTATGCAGGCTAATATTCCACTATGTGATGTAAACGGCATACTCTGTTTGGATATTCTGAATATAATCAGGTTTTAGGACACACGGCCTCTTGCCAGGTTATGACCAGCTCTGTGCGTCATAAACTAGCAGCAGTTTGCAGGGATGCATGCATTATGAAGGACTTGGATATCATCAGGATGTGCACACATATTGCAAAGATGACCTCTTTACAGAAGTTGGCTGAAGGAATGAAAGAGGGAGGTTATACAATGCCCTGCTGGATGCATTAATCTATAAGTATGCACAAGTGAATATAAATGGGAATATTAGCGGTATATATTTATTTCATTAGCTATGTAAACATCTTAGAAGGAATGTTGTCTCTTTCGGAATAAGAGCAATAACCGTAATATTTTGTGCATGTAAAAGGCGTCGCTGTTTGTGTGTCTGTGTCTGTAGTCATGTGTTTGTGAGTGTCTCCGTTTAACTTCCTGCCTCTTGTGTGTCAGGTGCTCTGGTTATTTCTGCGTATGCCGTTTGTCCCGACATCACAGCCACGGTGACGCCCGACCTGGAGGATCCAGATGGAAAAGGTATTTCGCACCTGAGGAAAATGTGAGATGTGCCATGACATTGTTCAATAATGTGATGACGATATGACTTGCGATAAATAAACACATATTTTGTGCATTTTAGCTTTATGTGTCCTATGCTCAGCCTGCTCGTCTTTATATTCAGAACCGGATTAGAAGTGATTATTCTGAAATAACTTTTTGAGCTCTGTGTGGTACCTCACCCTATAGTCTATCTTCATAAAAGCCGCAGAATTGTTGGGTATGCCGATTGCGTTGTTACTGTTATTTCCTCATCTCACCCAGACAGCAGAGATCTTTCTCTCTTTATAAAATACACAAAGAAACGCAGATTCCACACCCGCTCCTCTGTAACAGCCTCTGACCCTTTTGTCCTCCGTCTGCAGGCGTGTTGCTGTGGGTTCCTCTCAGCCCGGGCCGCCATCGTCTGGGAGGCTCGGCCCTGGCTCAGTGCTTCAGCCAGCTGGGAGACTGCTCTCCTGACTTGGAGCAGCCTCAAGTGTTTACCGCCTGCTTCAACACCACACAGGAACTCGTACACGGTGAGCTCACTCACGCAGGCACAGAGGAGAGAAAACAGCTGAGCTTTGTTTACTGTGATTCAGTCTGTGAGCTAATCTTTCTTTAGCTTTCTCTAATCGTAAGGCCACAGCTTTGTGCTGTGATACACAGCTACCTGGTGGTTTTATTGTGTATTTTCTTTATTATCATATTTGTATTTATTTAGCCAGGATATTATTTCTCTTCCTCCAGATCGTCTTCTGACCGCAGGACACGACGTCAGCGACGGCGGCCTCATTTCCTGCTTGCTAGAGATGGCGTTTGCGGGAAACCGTGGGATTGATGTTGAGTTATCATCACAAGGAGCTGGAGGTCAGTGAGCTGATGCGTTTCACACTCACAGGGTGCAAACTGTGTAGCTGTAACCATGAGCTCATACAGTGTTTCTGCTGCACAGTCCTGGAGCTGTTGTTCAGCGAGGAGCTGGGTTTGGTTCTGGAGGTTTCACAGCTCGATGTAGAGACGGTGTGTCAGAGATACGGCGACGCCGGCGTGCTCTGTCAACGCGTCGGCAGAACCTGCGGCTTTGGACCGGAGGCTGTGGTGAGACATCGACCTTCAGCACACGCATGTCGGCGCTTTTCATCTCATCTGTGGTCACCGTTCGTTCCCCTCACTCGTCTTTCAGGTCAGCGTTCGTGTGGACGGACGGGAGGTTCTGAGAGAGCCGCTGCCCGACCTCAGAGCATCATGGGAGGCCACCAGTTTCCAGCTGGAGCGCCTCCAGGCCAATGAGACGTGTGTTAAACAGGAAGAGGAGGGGCTTGCCAACAGGACACAGCCCTACTTCAAACTGACCTTTGACCCCTCTGAACTGCCCACCATCAGCCAGCTCAGTAAGACCAAAGCGGAGTGGTACCTTTTACAACGATTTAGTGTATTCAGACGTATTTCAAGTACTCCAACTATTCTTTTGATTACTACATTAATCATTTGTTCTATAATATGTTAGAAATAATGATATATGGCCGTTCGTAATTGGCCAGAATACAAACCAGATACAATTTTAAAATCCTCATCTTTGAGTTGTAACCACTGAGTGCTTGATGCTTAACATCGTTCTGTCTGATGTGTGTTGTTCTTTCAGGACAGCCTCGTGTAGCCGTGATCAGGGAGGAGGGCAGTAACGGAGACCGAGAGATGTCTGCGTCTCTGCACATGGCGGGCTTTGAGGTAACTATTTAGATCTTTATTAACTGGACATATGTTGCTCTGAGCTGTGCAGCTGGTGTACGTGACTCTTGTCTTTGTCTTTGTGTAGGTGTGGGACGTCAACATGCAGGACCTGTGCTCTGGCTCCATAACTCTGGAGTCCTTCAAAGCAGTCGTGTTCGTTGGTGGATTCAGCTACGCAGACGTCCTGGGATCAGCTAAAGGCAAATACACACCCATACATACACACACAGTCACACAATCATAGACCACTTTGTTACACACATTATTTAACTCCATTCATCCTTCGTGATAGGCTGGGCTGCTACTGTTGCATATAACCCCAAGGCCAAGGCTGAGTTTGATCGATTCCGGCGGCGGGACGACACGCTGAGCCTGGGAGTGTGTAATGGCTGCCAGCTGCTCGCTCTGCTGGGCTGGGTGGGAGAGGAAGGAGCTGGTAAGAGGAAAACTAATACTGCAGCAGTGAGCGGAGACGATGCAACAGCTATACGTGAAGAAATGAACATTATCGTCAGAGAGGTTGCTGATTTTTAAAATGCTTTCTAATTCTTTCCAATTCCCTCCCCCCCCCAGAGACTGAAGTGGTGCTGACTCATAATAAGTCCGGCAGGTTTGAGTCCCGGTTCGTCAGCGTTGGGATCCAGGAGTCCCTGTCCGTCTGGCTCAGAGGCATGGAGGGCTCCGCTCTGGGAGTCTGGGTCGCACATGGAGAAGGTGCAGTACTGTCAAGTCCATCATGTGGTCGTCCTTAACTTGTCACAAGAGCTGAACAGTTGCTTGTTGTCCTCTGTTCTCAGTTTTGATAATAACATCAAGCTCTGACGGACTCATGAGTGGCTAGTTTAATTATGTTTTTGGCGAGATTGCATGAAGTTTCTTCGAGCCAGTTGCCTCCATAAATCTCAGCTTGTTTTTGAGTTTAAATTAAGTGTGTTCTACGACGCCTTACAGCCCATTGGTTTCTAGACGAGTTAGTCAATTGTGTGTCGTATTCATTCAATCACACAAATACAGCAGCGGACGTTGCAGACGCAGCAGATCTGCCCTCTGCTGAATACACCTGTCTAGTTTTTTTTAACTTTTACTACATACTGCAGCTGCCCTTACAAAGTACGTACTGTTGCATGCAGTATGCATTCAATTGAGACATACTACTTCCTCCTAACGCTGCACAATGAACGTTGACCCTCTTGCTGTGCAGAGGATTGTGGGTCAGAAATGCGACCGGAGGCGGTAGAACATGCTGTTATTTTTGGCATACTGCATTTGAGATACTTTGTATTGGAACATATTGAATACGTGTGTGTTATACTAAATATAACGCCCCCCCCCCCCCCCCCCCCAACCTCTTTCCTTCACAGGTCTGATGCAGTTCCGTAGCTCCCTGTCCCAGGACCAGATTATCTCTGGCGGGCTCGCCCCCGTCCGTTACCTTGATGACCAGGGTCATCCCACTGAAGAGTACCCTCTGAACCCTAACGGCTCCCCGCAGGGCGTAGCTGGGCTCTGCTCCAGGGATGGGCGACACCTGGCCATGATGCCCCACCCGGAGCGCTGCACCCTGGGCTGGCAGTGGCCCTGGGCCCCGAGGGCCTTCAGACCGTCCCTCACACCTTCCCCGTGGTTACACATGTTCAAGAACGCCGCTGCTTGGTGCAGCAACACAGAGTGATGATACTGTTTACATTTCTGCTGCTGCCAAAGTCATAGTATTATCTTTTTGGGGTTGTGGAGGGTCAACTGAACATAAGGCCTGTTCGCATTACTCAGTCGTGTAATGCACCTTTTTACTCACTGCGGTACTTTGTCTGTTTGTGTTGTTAATGATGCCTGCTGTAATACTTAATGACTTGGAGACAACTGAGGTTTCTTGTTGACTTTGTACACATTTTTGCAATTTTTTTTTTTTAACAAATATGTTTCGTACCAATCAGTGTTACTCTAAATAAATACATAATAAAACAGCAGAAGCATGTGTAGTGTGTCATATGATTTTAAAGAAATGCCATTTAAGTCAATAAATATTCTTTATTTTACACAAAAACATATGTCAAGTATTTACATAGTACTATTATAGTACTGACATGACAGCTTGCTGCCCACTCAACAGTTTTTTGGGGTAAAAAATAAAGGATGAAATTGCGATTTACTCCCAAACAAACACTCCAGGCCTCAGGAACTTACAGAATAAGAATTTGTAACCACAGCTGAACCAGCACACTTGCATGACATTGCATTTTAGATAACACTCTTACATAGGCCCTGTAAACCCTTGACAAACAGGCCTGGACTGTGCTGTAGTCAATATTATTGTATCCACTAATCCAACTAGCTACAGCCAGAAGTAAGAAAAACAATAGAAGTCTTTGTCAAACAGCATCTGTCTACAGTGAACCCCCTAACACTCTTTCTGAGGTCGTAGCATTCGCAGAGTGTCCTCGTCTCTCTGGCGCCATTTGATGGTTGATGTTGATAACGCAGATGAGGAGCAGGATGACCACCACCAGGTCATCCAGGACCCCCAGCAGTCCGCGCAGGGAGGGGTCTGTTCCCAGGGGATTTGCTGATGAGGAGGCGAGGTCCTGAGGAGCGGAGGAGATGGACACCACGGTCCCAACGCAGCACAGGGCCACCCTGAAGAAAAACAACCACACGAGTCCTCCAATGGCGCCCAGGCTTCGGGCCAGTAGCTGCAGGAGAAGGGGAGCGTCGCACAGGTAGTCCGTCACCTGGAGGGGTCAGTGTGAAGAAGAGAAGGTGGGTCAGATCAAATGGTCCTAGATTTGAGCATTCAAACATGACATATGGTGGTAAATGTTAATATTAAAAGAGGCAGGAAGAATCTGATTTTTGCAGCACATATAGACTCAAGATTTCCTTTTACAAGGTTCTGTACTTTTAGATTTTGTCTCCTTAAAAGTGAGAATTGTACTGTACAATATATAACAAGACAACAAACACTTTTAAAAAGTCATATTTTAGGGTTTGGTCTTGTAAACATTTGATATTTTTACAGACAAAAAGAAGACTTGCTATAGGACATGCACGGGTACGTTTTAGCAATAATATGGATTGCCTATAATAAATAAAATAAAATGTGTGGAAAATGCATCTGTTTAAACTCAAAATTCAGCTGTCATATTTCTACCAGTGTACTTCAACTCAGCCTTTTAGCAAACAGACCCATCATTTCATCATAAGAGCATGTGAAGGAGATCCATGTGGGAAATCAGTCGTGCACGTATTTCAATGAAAGGTAACACTCATCCTAAGTAGGGCAGCTAGGTGTGTCAATGCCAGCTGCGTTAACCAGACACCTCCATTGTCTGGAGTTACTGGTTGTATCGGACCATAAATCCTTGCGGTTCCTGTTACCAAACCTACTATCGGAGGGAACGGTGGAGGATTTCTCACCAGGCTGTAATAGAGAGTTTCATCACCTGATACAGACGCAGGTAAAGGGTGGAGAATAGGGGAAAACTACTGTGGAAAGACTTTAAGACCAGTTTCTAAGAAGGTTAGATAAAGTATTACTGACCCTTCGCGGGGCTCCAGAATAACGCTCGTTGTAGTTTGTGATTTCCCCGAGAACTTCCTTTGACTGACGGTCCGATGGAGTCTCGTTGAACAGGTTACACAGCACACTGACCTGGAAAATCAGAAACATGTTATTCCATGTTTCACGCTCATTCTGACCCGACTGTGTGGAGACAGTCAGATGACTTAAACGTTGACTCAAGTTAGACTCAAATTAAAACTGATCTACCGACTAAATGTGGAGTGTGTTTTCATGGGACCATGCAGACTTTACCTTCTGTCTGCAGAGAGGGCAGCTGATTGCATCCAACCAGGACCCATGTCTCCAATAGGCGATCAGACAGGGAGCTGCAGAATCAAACACATACACCATTACATTACATTACATTACAGTCATTTAGCAGATGCTTTTATCCAAAGCGACTTACAATAAGTGTATTCAACATCGGTCACCAGAAGTCATAAGTGCATCTCCTTTCTTCAAACAAGCATCTAAGAGCATAAACCAGAGCCTACGTACAGTTCAGAAACAAACGAATGCAATAAGTGCCACAAACTAATATGAATACAATAAGTGCAATAAGCTAGTATGAATCTACTGTAACGTTCAACAGTTTGTACCATAATGCATTGCTTCTGAACCAGTAAGGGGGCTTCACGAGGGATCCTTGATTTTAAAAGGTGTTAAAATACTTTTTCTAAAATATCTATTTGTCCTTTTAAGACAAACTTGAACCCAAGCTATATTCACAGAACCTCCCCTCCCTCTCTGCTAAACATTGCATTAGAAAAATCTGCAGTTAAAACAATCAAAGAGCTAACAGAACAATGGCAACGCATCAGGGAGGTGAAAACACTGAATTAGTCAAAAAAATATGACTGAAAAATTCAGAATCCAGACAGAGACTAATCTGCTTAAAATTCATCCAAATTGCTCGTTTGACACAAACGTCCTGCAGTTGCACATTCACTATTTGGGTTAATTGTACATTTTCATTAGTTGTTCTCTACTTCTGTGAATTTGAACTCAAAGGTTTGAATTTCATCTAAGGTTTAGCTCTCTAAATCTGTGAAACCGGACACCTCTGAGGAGAATGATTTGAGTAAAGCTGTCAGGTGAGAGGCACAGCTGGAAAACTATTGAGAGCCGATCAGACAGAACCTTCCAGGCTCGAAACACACCGATGCTACGCCGATCAGCCAATGAAGGAACAACGATATAAACACATGAATCTCGTACCACAGAACAAATGGCCGCAGTTGGTCCGGACTGGGAAGCTGGCCGTCTGCAAGCAGACTGGACAACAGTCTCGGTTTACGGAGGAACCCGACTGTGTGGCTTCCTAAAGAGATGAGAGGAAAAGAGAAGGATACAGAGTCAAAAGGGACGAGAGGTGGAAAACAGGAAGAAGGAAATAGGAAAAATGTAAAAGGAAGAAGGAAATATGAAGCAGAACCTTATGGACAAATTTAGTATTCCTGATATTGTGTTTGAGATCATTTCAAACAATTATAAAAGCTACACAATACAATGTGATTATGTTAAGGTCTGGGATTCGACATGTACACAGTGAGCTTATTAGAGTTGAAACAGACAGATCTGCACACAAAGTTAGGAGGATTTTAACGTTTCGAGCACCAGGCTCTTCCTCAGACTTCTAAAGAAACACACTGCCTTTTGTGTTTGTTGTTGCATCTCTTATTTGGTGTAGCTTTTTTCCCTTTAACAACTTATTACAAAAGTAAATAGACAGAGGAGCCTCTAATTGGTAGAGTATGTGACGGCTAATGAGTGTGAGTCCTTGGATGATGATCTGAAATATGCATTTATGTATATTTAATACATATATATGTATTTCCTTATTACGTTTTGACTGATAATTTGCAAGAGCAAATGGTTCTGTATACCATGTGTGCTTGTTATATATATTTTGTTTACATGAGGCCTTTATGAAGTACTAAGTAGAGCACATGTTTTGAATACCATAATCTCAATATATATTAATTTTTCTTATTACTATTTGATGTGGACTATTTGCAACAGGTGTGGTTTGTCACATATGCTGGTCTACACATTCAGATGGGGACTCTCTGTCCGAGGACGAGTCTGGAGCTTGAAATGTTACACAGCATTGAAACCCTGCTAACGGGAGCTACGGTGAGCAGATCTGTCCTGCTCGATACTTCTTTTTTCCGCCCCATTTGGCACAGGTTTCTTTTTTATATTGTTGTATTGCCTCTTAACAGTGAGGTCATCGTCATTTGTCAGGCAGCAACTCTCTCTACCAGCCTGTGACCCTTATAATAAAAGCAATAACAATCATCACACAGGAGTGCCTTCCAGTAATAACATTCTCTACTGCCTGTGTGCTTGTCCTGTTTTCACTGTTCATTGAAGATCTCAGAAAAATTTTGGGAAATAACAGAAATGACTGAAGAAGCTGCAGCTGCTTACTGAGTGTGAAACTCTCACCTCGTGGCGGCTCGTTGACGTCGACGCTGTCTGCTCGGATGTGCACACCGGAGATCTGGGTGACCCGAGGTGGCCTTGACCTGCTGGAGCTCCAGAGGGGAGACGGTCCGGTCTGCAGCGTGACACCACACGGGCGACAATGATAACACAGTGTGTGAGGAGATGCTCACACTAAACTAACTGTTTGTGAGATAAGGTTGATTGAGCTCAGCTCTTTTTCTAATTGTGGCTGACAGATGGTGAGGCTCTGACTGCAGCGGTTTGACAGATTAGATGCTGTGTTGAAGTCCTTTTACCCGAACGCTTTGAACGCTGCAGTCATTCAAGATCAATATGTTGGATGGAAAATAGTGAAATGATGTAAATAGTCAAATACAATCAGGCTTTCATCAGGCATCTTAAACAACTTCAGCGTCAAAATCTGGCTTTTATCAGCAGATTATATTTACAGTGATCACAGTTATCAGTTTATGAAACTAGGCCGGTCATCGAAACAGATGAACAGGTCATTAACAAATCATTCATATTTCACATGATGAAACATGTTGTTGTGGTTTGCTCTGGTTGAACTTCACTTTTGTGCAGCTCTTACATGCAGTGATGAAAGGAATAAATGAACATATCTCACTGTTTCTAGTCTGAATTACAGATCAGATGGAGCGAGCTGACATCATCCCTCAACCCCAAAACCTAAATCATCTTATGAGTACAATTGCAGCACAAAACCTCACTTGTGTTCTCAGAAAACAAACACAAACCCATCAATGCTGCCAAACGTGCAGCAAGGCGAGACTCACCTGGACCGAGAGCTGTGGTACGGCCGCATAGCTGAGCCAGAAGCAGGTATCCACTGTCTCCTAGAAGGAAGTGAAGTTCTGCCTCACGTAGAAGGAAGTGAAGTGTTGCCTCAGGTAGTCACTGTCTCCTAGAAGGAAGTGAAGTGTTGCCTCACGTAGTCACTGTCTCCTAGAAGGAAGTGAAGTGTTGCCTCAGGTAGTCACTGTCTCCTAGAAGGAAGTGAAGTGTTGCCTCAGGTAGTCACTGTCTCCTAGAAGGAAGTGAAGTGCTGCCTCACAGCATCACTGTTCAAAATAAATTGGAGTGGCCTGTTAATGATCAACAACACTCCAACATCAGCTGGTCTCTGATTCTATGCTTTAAAGGAGCAGTAATGCAGTCAGATCAATAAAGCGGTGGCGGTGCTTCTCTTACGAAATGTTAGACTTTGAGGGTTAAAAGTATCAGAATCATTTCATCTAAAAACGCCCACCTCCTTTGGGGGGGGGGGGGGGCACATGACCTACCGGCAGATGAAAGCCACGCTGTGTTTAAGTAGGTTAGATCTGACCTCGCCAATCATTTACCCAAAGTTTACTCTGCTAACAGCCCCGCTTTGTATAATTCCACTCTTGCCATAAAGCGTTGGTTGTGACATTAACACCGTACTACACCGTAGGGTCACGGAGAGACACCTCAGCCTCTCGTAGAACCACTGTAGTATGAAGGCACATCTCTCAACTACTAATGCATTCTGTTGTCATTCAAATAATGTAAAAGTTTTGTCCAAATGACTCAAGATGATGCAATAAAACTACCAAAATGAATTTGCTGAGGGGAGGGGAGACACCGCATGTCAATGGAGTAAAAAGTTCAACTAATAGATATCAGCAAGTAAGTTTTGTATTACAAGTTTTCTGAAATGTTATGTTCAAATATGCAAATGAGGCACTACATTATCAAATATGTGCCAGTTTGAATACCTACTCAGACCATAAATCTGAACATTAATTTTGTTGACATATTAGAGTCAAAGGTTTTTACGGAGGGGATTTAGGATGTCTCTTTGTATCGCTCCATAAATCAGACAATACTGTCAACAGCCATTAAGAAATACATTTTCTCCATGTTTTTAGTAATAAAATGTTGTATAAATCAGGCTCTGAATGATATATGAACAAAGCTCTCTGTCAAAACCTTCAGAATATAGAGAGGAAGGAAAGTGTTGGTGTATGTAAGAGCTACTGAAGTGGAGATTTCAAGAAAAGGGCCTTTGAAGATATATTTGTAAAATTACATATTTTGAAGACATTTCAGGTGAATAAAGTAAAAACATTAACTAATAGGTATCACCATTAAACTTTCCCGGTTCATTACTCACAGTAAGATGATATTTTTGTATTACTTGTTTTTTAATATGTTTTGTTCAAATATGAAAATGAGAAATTATCTAATGGTAACTTTTGGTGAATTTACAGACGCAGTTGGACAAAGTAGTAAAAAAAACTGAAGATGCGATAACCTTCACAGAGTTCTCCATGGCAGCCATTGCAGACACATCCTGTGGTTCAGGTCATCTAAAAATAGCAGACATGAGTCAGTGAGGGTCAGGGTCTGGTAGTGACAGAGAGCAGGAGATAAAACATTGGTGCTCACCTACTGACAGCTAAACACAGCACAGAGGACGCTCCTGCCGCCCACATTGGTAAAGTCCAGTCTCAGGTTGTAATTTTCCATATTGTGGCTGAGAGAGCAGGTGACGCCTGTAAGGTTTGTTATCTTGGAGTGACTTAAAGCAGTCAGTAGCCTTTGAATTTCAATCACACACACCCTCACGTGAGATATATAAATGAATAACGTCAGGAGGTTTATTGCATACGTGAGAAATGATTTATATTCAGAGAATGGTTGGCGTGCTGCCGAGTTTTATTAGTGGTTGACTGAGGGCAGGTTTATTACAGAAAAGGCTTTCTTGGTTGTTAATGGAGCCTATAAATTCAGGGTTTAAGGGGATTAACATCCTATTTATATTTAATATCCAACTCCAAGCAATGCCTGCATAACTGGCTGTGCAGGATTATTATTTGTGTTGGCTATGGTGAGGTCACGTAGCCTCTTACAGTGTGTCAGGTTGTCAGACGTGAAACAAACTGCGATTGAGATTTCATGTTGGTTGAGCTATGACTTGAGAAGATGAGGCCAAGCAAAGAGAAAATAGAATTAATGTTGTTGCTGTTTTTGATTAAAACTTATTTTCTTGAAATAAACAATTTCGAGAAAATTAGTTTGATATGAGGTATTTGTTTAATGTATGTATTTGTTTTTTGTCATATTTGCAATTTTCAGAAGCCTTTCCTACGATTTATTTACATGGTTTTGGTTGTAAGATTTTTAAACACGTTAAATCCATACATATATAGATATATATAACCTGATAACCTCACTGAGGAGAGACAAGTCTTATTGAGCCATTTGTTTAAATGCTGTAACATGATAGATAGATACTTTATTCATCCCCAGGGGGAAATTTGTTCAAATATAACTTAACAAAATAGTATTTATTTCATGAAATAATACACATTTAACTGCGTAAATTCGGTATAAATCCATGCTACATATCCATCAATAATGAGGGGAAGCCATGTTATAATCACACAGATCAGAAATGTTTTGATTTTGGCCAGTTTTAAGGGGTGTATGAGAATCGAGGATCACGCTCACTGATTGGCTAAGGCGCGGTTTAACAGACGTCAATCTTCCCAGATCTCAACGCTGATTGGATACGACTCACTTTCAGCTCAACTGGAGCCCGCAAGCGCAAGAACTCAAGAAGCTGCGCCATTCGCGTACATTTTACGTTATTTTAATGGCGGAGCGGCCGTCGCGGCTCTTCGGTGTACGTATTTGTCGTTGGAGAGCTACCTTTTCGGCAGCAGGTGAGGTCAAATGCAGAGGAAAAGAACGGAAGAGCGTTGGTGACAGGTGAAGGAAAATACTTTCGCTTTTAAGCTAAGAAGGGACAAATGGAGGCGAACAAAACGGAGCTGTCCGAGAGCCTCGTAATATGGGTGAGTTGTTTTTTTTACGTAATGGGAATGTGTCGCGTGACACAAGGAACTATGGGTGCGATACGACATTTAACGTTCAGTAACGTGACGTGAGGAGCTTTGAGGCACTGCAGGCTAATACATATATAAAGTTAACAGTTTTAAAGGTACAAAGACAACAATATCCTTCAGTTTAGTCGATCCTCGTCGGATATAGAGTTGTAATCCAATTAACCGGGAGATATATGTGGAATGTCTCCCTATTGGTAATCTTATATAAGTGAATAAATGAAGCTAACACCAGCAATAATTAGCCATTATTTATCTATCGTAGTGATGCTGCACCTGCACCTCCTCACGGGTGTGTGGATCCACGAGCGTTGGGTTAATAATAGGCTGATTAGATCTCGTGTCAGGTTCATCTGACGTCTAAGCCACGCGAGTTATACCTTGTTGACCAACAGTGTCACGGTTCCTACAACTAAGTTAGAGGTTAGATTAACCCGCGTGCTTCACTTTTTAAAGACAGAATTAGCTGCTATGTCCTGAGAGGACAAACATAACATAGACAAAAAACTACTTTAAAATATAAATATTATTAGTTTCCACTTTCACTGATTTACATTTTTTTTAAATAGAGAGAACGTGATACAGATGACCAGCCTCCTCCTCTCCTCTTCCTCTCCCTCCTCCTCTTCCTCCCTCCGTCCTTCTCCTCTCCTCGTCTCCTACTTTGTTACACGTAAAAGTCCTGCATTTAAACCTGAATGATGAGCTTAAACATCTACTTAAAGTCAACTCTCCGTGGAGATTGCTGTCCAGTCCTTGTGGTGATGCTGTGTTTCGTGCCTCTCAGCTGCAGACCTTCAACACTCCTGCGCCCTGCAGAACGGTGGAGGAGCTGACCACTGGAGCAGCAATATCACAGGCACTGCATCAAATGTGAGAGAACACACACACACACACACACACACACACACACACACACACACAGGAATACAACATACTGTAGGTTATGCAGGTCTGCCCCATTAATCACGATACCTGGTGACTCTGCAGATACATTATGTATTTACAGCCAGTCCTAGTTTAGCTCAAGTTAGAGTTCTGATACCGATATCAGTATCGCAAACGTTCAGCATCATCTAGAATCATCTCTTATGTTGCTCCTCTGTGTGCTGCAGAGACCCGGCATGGTTCTCTGACGGTTGGCTCGGCCGCATCAAAACAGATGTTCATGACAACTGGAGACTGAAGGTACGAGCAGTGCAGTCGCGGCTCCCCGTCCCTTGTGTGCTAAATCCTCTGTTTGCTTCAACCCTCGACACTAACCTCCTTCCTGCCCAAAGGGTGCTTCTCCTGCCTTAGCCCGCTCTCTGACCCCGCGCTCTGACTCCTCTGGTGAAATGTGTACATGTATGTTTGTCCTAATATGTCGTCTACATGCAGCGTCGTTGAGAAACGTAAATGCACGCCATTCTCTCTCCCTCTGTTTGGCTCTGACTGTGTTTTCCCTGTTTGCCGTTCTTCCCTCCATGCTGCCCTCTTTCACATCAAATGTTTTGACATGCCGCAGTAGGGAAATGCACAGGTGTATTTAATACAATGAATGGCGGCTGAATTGCATTGAGGTGACTCAGTATTTTGCATGCTGGGCTTACTGGGACACAAGAGTAGAAAACAATCATTAAAGGTTCTCGATACGATAGTCAGAGCAGAGGGATTGCCTCCACACGGCTCTCAACATGGAGACGGCTGAGCGGGCAGCTAACAGCGCTAACAATGGCCACAGTGCTGACAGAGCTAACTCTGCTCTGAATATCTAATTTAGCACATTTAATGTTATTAACTAGTCAAAATGTCTGCTGTGAAAAAGGCATATTTCCACTTGTGCACATTTGAAAAGTCTTGATTTCGTCACGGCATGATCATCAATTATGTTTGAAGTGAGTCTCTGTTGTGAGTTTGTCTACAACTACTATCTTGACTCTGAACTAAGTTGATAACATTTTGTAATCTCATGTGTGTGTGTGTGTGGTCTCAGATGAACAACCTGAAGAAGATCCTTCAGATGGTGCTTGATTATTACAATGAGGTAGGTTGTGTTTGCACCGTTGATGACTGGGAGTAGGTGAGACTCTCGTGTGTTCGTTCAGTTCTTGTGGGATTTGCAGTCTGCACTGTTTACGTAGCTCCAAACCCCAGGAGCCGAGCAGTTGAGAGCAAAACATGCATCAAGCAGTTTGAGCCTGCTACACAAAACAGCCACATATTATTATATCCAATTTGCTAAATAAACACACAGTTAACACGTTTAATTTGTCAATCCTCTTAGTTGCAGCTGTTTACAGGTTGAGCTCTTAAAGTCACAGGGTGTTATCTGTCTCTGTACCATCAGGTCTTAGCCCAGGACATGTCAGACTTCTGCTTGCCCGATCTGGCCGTGGCGGCCGAGCATTCCGACCCCGTGGAACTGGGGAGGCTGCTGCAGCTCGTACTGGGCTGTGCTGTCAGATGTGAGCATAAACAAGGTACGTGGCTGCACCAACAGATACCTGATGGTAAATGTGCGCTGTACAGTGTAGATGGAGAGGGGAATGTCCCATCAAAAATCGTGTTGGGTTAAGGCCCGCGCGTGTGAACAGTGTTTGGTTATTGCCCTGCCAAGCCTCGGACAAAAGAAGAGCCCATCAGGCGGCCCGGCTGGGGAATCAATGACTGCAGTGTTGCGTTACGTTAACCTAATAAACCACGCAGTCACTGGGTACAGTCGATGAGTGTCTCTTCTCGTTCTATTGACAGAATACATTCAGATCATCATGACCTTGGAGGAGTCTGTGCAGCATGTGGTCATGACAGCCATCCAGGAGGTCAGTCCATCCCAATATCAAACGTCTCCTTCACTCACATTACAGATGTGACGACCAGCGTGGCTGAGCAGTCGTACATTTGAGGAGCTTTTAAAGGGACTTAAACAGCAGTAGTTGCTTGTGTTCAGGTTTGCAGCTGTCAGCTAGAGGGAGAGAGGGAGAGAGAATGTGTGTGTGTGTGTGTGTGTGTGTGTGTGTGTGTGTGTGTGTGTGTGTCATTAACTCAGTGCCATGTTGTCCTCTCCAGCTCATGAGTAAGGAGGTCGTGGTCCCGTTTGGAGCAGAACTGTCGGGGGATTTGGAACAGCAGGTCAGTTTTATCATCACTGAGATTCCTAACTGGGAGATCTTGCTTTGTTTTAACACAGCCAGTACTTTCTGTGTAGTTAGACATGAATTAAAAAAAAAAAGAAATCCACAAAATGTATTCTGATTATAACTTAAACCACTCAAATATGGGCAAAATAAGAATCTCTCAACAGTACGTAACATTCTAATGATTACTTTCATATATTGTTATTTGCAGTTAATGTCTGACTCCTCTTCTCAGTGAGGTATTTGGTTTGTAAATCATTATAAGATTTAAAATAGCTTATCTGGTGTAAGCAAATGTCAAAAAGCCTAAATGTGTTCAATGTATTACGCTGTGAACTGCAGAAAGACGTCTACATCCTCACCTTTTAGAGGCACACTATAACCCGACACGGAGAATCATTCAATAGATATTTATCTCTCTGCTCGCACTACGTTCTTATGTCAGTGCTCTGATTCATAAATGTATTCTATGGTTTTTGAAACAATAGCCTTTGGTTGTTGTTATTTAGCATATCTGAGGCTATTGCATGATTACATCAATGAATTCATTTGAAAGAATGAACATGTTAACAGCGCCCTCCGTCACTTCATCCTGGCGCCCGGCCTGTGTGTTTGAAAGCCTTTTGAGACTTCTGATTCTGCATTGCAGCAGTTGTGTGACGGTATACGTGTTGGTTAATTCTGCCTTTCCTTCGTGTGTGCAGCTGAAAAAAGCCCTCGAGGAACTCACTGAACTTCTGGCAGAGAAGGAAGCGTTAGTCCAACGCTGTCAAGAGCTGGACATCCAGGTGAATACAGGACTCATCCACGCACGCTTCAGTGTTCCTACAGAAAAACAAAACATTAATAGGATTTATTTGCAGCCGTGTAGCCTCAGTGCTTTCTATAGGTTTGCCGATAGTCAGATATCCGTGTCTATGCACGCACGGCTGTGGTACAGTGTAAACAGGAGTTGTGTAATTCGCTGTGATGCTTGGCTCCATTGTCTGGAGCTGCTGTGGCAGAAGGACTGTGGGCTTAGAGTCTGGGCTCCGCTGGTCCCACTGTGGCAACCAGCCCATCCTCTGCCACTGCTAGAGGGCCTCGCTCAGCCCCGTACAGACTACATGCAGCTCAGGCTCTGATCAACTGTTCAACTGGACTCTCGACAGATTGATTTGTTCTGTCACCAGTGTTGCTTGTCTCTGGCTGCAGCGAGGTAAGTCCGACACGGCCGAACTAAACCCGTCTAAAACCAGCTGCTCAAACGTTGACTCTAACTCAGCTAACAGGCGGCTTGGTCGGGACTCTGTCCGAGACGAGTCACGCAGTGTTTAATATGTTGTGGTGTTCGTCCAGTAATTCACCCAGGATCATCTGCCTGTCCTAACACCCATTCTGTCGTCGTCTTTTAGTAAAAGCAACATCATTGCTTAATAATGCATCGTGTTTTATGTGACACTTAAAGTATAGTTTGAAGGATTAGACAGTGGAGTTCATGATACGTGTCAATATTGTTTTCCATAGATATTCAGTTTACTTGTGATAATGATGATTATATCTTACAGTTTTTACAAAACTATCTTGTCTACTTTAATGATTCCAAGCAAAATAAACTGAATGAGTTATTGAAGTTTCTTTCTGACAAGTTTGGTCCATTGTAATGCTATTTATAATAATAATAATAATAATAACATGTTGGTTTGCATACAACGTATGTTTCGTTTTGTTCTGAACAATGTGTCCCAGCCCTACCTAAACGTATAACTCCTCCAGGATGTTTTGATCTAGTTTGTAGTCATGTGGTATGCAGGACTTTTAAAACAACGCCCGGTTAATCTCAGACTAATAGTCCGGTGTCTGCTGGTAAACACCAGGATGTAAATGATAGTCCGGTGTCTGCTGGCAAACACCAGGATGTAAATGATAGTCCGGTGTCTGCTGGCAAACACCAGGACGTAAATGATGGGTGAGAAGTGAAACTAACTAACCGTGTCTTCGCATGTTTGCTTAAAGTGCTCTTTGTCTGTGCTCTGCTTCCAGCATGGATTAACTGAGCTGTTTGCTTTAACAGCTGGGAGAGGAAGAGTGTTATCTCTAATGTGACTGCTGATGCTTTGCATGAAATAATTCACTAAAGACAGATTTTATGTCACACATTTTTCCTGCTGACTTGACACAAATGTATATTTCACCTTTAAACGGATAGTTTGGATTATTTGAATTGGGGTAGTTTGAAATCCATCTTTATTCATGTGTACAAAACATTTACTAAATAGAAAACTTATTAGTTTGTCTGTTTCTCCAAACTGGGGGTATGTCATCCACTATCTACTGTAGCCTAAGTACCTCATACAGCCCCACTTCAATATGTCAACTATACCTTCTGACTTTGTTGAAATTGTGTCTTTTGTGAGAGTGGCTGTAAAGCGTGTTGTACCTGGACAGGTGGCTGTTTTGCAAGAGGAACGGAACAGCTTATTGGCTGAGAACGATGTCCTAACGGACCGAGCCAATCAGCTGGACACATTCGACGACCCGAGCACCCCCTCGGGAAGAAAACGCAGCCAGCTGCAGCAACAGTTGGAGGCGGTGCAGGAGGAGAACTTCAGGTGTGGCCACGTTCTGCTTGAATGTACCGCGGCTACCTGCATCGTGTTTTGCACAAGTCTGGACGATCACGTGCGTTTGCCTCTTTCAGGCTGGAGGCCGCTAAGGATGACTACCGGATCCACTGTGAAGAGTTGGAGAAGCAGCTGATCGAGGTGCAGCACCGTAATGACGAGCTCACCAGCCTGGCAGAAGAGTCCCGAGCCCTCAAAGATGAACTGGACGTTCTGAGGTTTGTGTTTGTGTGGGTTGCTCAAGTATTTAAACTGTAATTAAAAGGTTTTTCAGCTACTTTCTGCTGTCAAGGGGCAGCATGCAAACATCTGTTGCTGCCCCAGAATATAAAACTAGCAGTCTGCTGAGCTACGTGGAGAGGGAAGGTCGGCTCATGATCTCACTGATTAGCTCATTTCTGTTTGAGGGTGAGCTAATCAGTAGAAATAGCTGATGTTCTCTCTCTACTGGCCTTGAGAGAGTAGGCTCACCTCTTGCATGAATACAACCAATAAGAAGCAGGAAAACAACATCAACACAATTTAATATTCCAAAATGTAACAGTTGTTCATCCGTGTGAGTGGAGAGACCAATCTTCTACCTTAAGGTAGAAGATTCTTCTTCCTGAAGCAGTTGAAATCAGTTATTCATTTATATCGCTTGCTATTGATCTCATGTTCGTGTACTGTAGGAACTGCTCAGATCGGGTGGTGACGCTGGAGGCCTCGGTAGATACATACAAACGTAAACTGGAGAATCTCGGTGATCTGAAGAGGCAGATGAAGCTGCTGGAGGAGAACAACATGACCTACATGCACAACACTGTCAGCTTGGAGGAAGAACTGCGCAAGGCCAACGCTGCCCGCACACAGCTGGAGACTTACAAGAGACAGGTGAGCCGAGGGACAATTCACATGTTATGAATCTCTCACACGGTACAGAGTTTACTTTAGTCCGACGTATTCCTGTTATTGGTTTGCTGTCGGTCAGGTCCAGGAACTGCACGTGAGGTTGTCTGAGGAGTCGCGGCGAGCGGACAACCTGGCCTACGAGATGAAGAAGTTGGAGGAAAAGCACGAAACTGTGATGAAGGAGAAAGAGGTGAGGCAGCTTTTGAAGTGTGTCAGGAAGAATCGGCAGCAGGATTATTTTTGTTTGTACTCTAGCTGTAGTAGTATCATTTGGACTGTTGTTTTCACATATCTTTCCCTTTCACCTGGATTTGTTGTAGTAGGAACGATTTAAAGCCGGCGTTTAAAAACCAGAAGGTCATGACCTCAGACAGCCACATTAAGTCAACCTTCTATCACTCAAGAATAAATCAAGGATTAAAGGATAAAAACTAGACATAAAGAAGCAGCGTTCAGATTTCATGCTCTACACATCTGGAACAAACTCCCAGAATTGCAGGTCTGCTGCAACGCTCAGTTCTTTTAAATGAAGTCTGAAGACTTTTCTGATTTGATCTATTTTATCTGGTTTTTATGTTCTATTGTTTTGTTTAATGACTGTTTTTAATTGTATTTCAATGTGTTTCTGTAGCACTTTCTCGATGCTTTCAATGTTTTATGTAAAGCTCTTTGAGTTGCTGTAATGTGCTGTGTGAGTGAACTCTCCTTGCCTCCATCAGAGGACCATCATCGAGAGAGATTCTCTGAAGGAGATCAATGAGGAGCTGCGATGCACTCAGGCTCAACAGCACCAGCTCTCCCAACCAGGTGTGTGACTGGATGCTCATATCTGACAGTAAGGCCTTTGCCACTTTGATATTCTAAAGCGCAGAAACGTTTCCTCCTGCAGGGATTCTTCCTGCTAGCAGCCCCAGCCATGAGAACCTGGCAGCTGAATTAATACCCATTGAGTACAGGTAAGAGACACTGATTGTGTGTGTGTGTGTGTGTGTGTGTGTGTGTGTGTGTGTGTGTGTGTTACTGACCTTGTATGCGTGATTGTTCAGAGAGAAGTTCATCAGGCTGCAGCATGAGAACAAGATGCTGAGAGTGCAGCAGGAGGAGTGTGAGAGGGAGAAGATCGCTGCACTGCAGAGTCAGCTGGAGGAAGCACACAAGACACGCAGCGAACTGGACACGGAGAACAGGTGAACGCATTCATACCCTTCTTCCACCAAAGTCCTTTCTGTCTTTAGTTAGTGGGTTTTTTGTCCGGTGGGAAAGCGGCTCTGATCGCTCTTAAATCAGCAACAGCTTGATGTGACGGAGGGTTTTTTCCCACAGCCATTGGCTGCTTCGCTGATGTTACCTCTGCTATGTTTGGTGTGCCGATGTATTGTGTTCCTTTTGTTAATATTTCCGTCCTCTTCAACCTGCAGATTGAGTCGAGAGCGGATCAGTGAGCTGCAGCAGCAGGTGGAGGACCTCCAGAAGGCTCTGCAGAGTCAGGCGGCCAAACCTGATGATGTGAGCGCTGGCGCACACAGTTAATCTTATTACGCTGGTCAGACTTTGTGCTGGCATGGCATTATGGAAGGAAATCACATTAGTGCATGGTTTCAGACTAAAAGTTCATCTTATTTAGATGTCATTTGTTGTCAAATGTGTTTATTTTACGTTGCACAATTAATCAAATCTAAGCGTTTTAGAAGCGTTACATTTCTTTTTTTTTTTTTTTTTTTTTTTTCAGTCAAACCTGAAGCGGAAACTCGATGCGCACATGTAAGTGTGAATTATGTGCCAATCCTTGTGTGAGAGATGAGAGATGAGAGATAAAAGCACGTGTCCTCCAGTAGAGGGAGGTAAAGGAACAGCATGTGTCTCCTCAGGGTGCAGCTGAACGAGGCTCAGGACGAAATCATGAAGAAGAAAGAGCTGCTGGAGGACCTTCAGCCTGACAACACTCAGACCTGTGAGAATAAACGTAGCCTTCTCTCTTAGTGTAGCTTCCTCTGCAACAATATGACTGTAGTGAAAACCTCTTCATGTCTTCTTTGCCTCTAAGCCTTGAAGCTGGATGAGCTGAACGCCGCTCTGAAGAAGAAGGACGATGACATGAGGGCCATGGAAGAGAGGTACAAAATGTACCTGGAGAAAGCTCGCAATGTGAGTGAAAAGATATATATATATAGCCTGATATATATATCTCTTTTTTTCCAGTAGTTTGATCTGACTTCAGAAAGGTCCTTTTTGTTTGTGGTGAGATGTACAACAAAATATATATTTTTAAGGGGTTTAAGGATGAGGAAGGGTTGAGAGGACGAACATGAGGTAATTGTTTAACGTATATCTGATTGACAACGGGACATTCTCTTTGAATATAATTGTTTATGAGTTGTGTGTATATATGATAACTATTGATCAATGAAATTGTGCTTGTAGGTTATCAGAGCGCTGGATCCTAAACTGAACCCAGCCACCGCTGAGATCCAGGCTCTGAGGAGCCAGGTAGCAGATCGGGACAAGCAGATTCTCAACCTGGAGGTGAATCAGCCTTTCTACTCGATCACAGTAAAACATACATACATTATGTTTATTTTAAAGATTTGTGTGATTGTTTTTCAAACTTGACTCGTGTTGCATTGATCTGTCTCTGCAGCGTCAATGTGAGCAGGCCAAGCTGAGAGAGTATGAGGAGAAGCTGGTCGTCACTGCGTGGTACAACAAGGTCAAAGAAATTCACGTTATCTGATGTTTGTCCTGCTTTTTATTACTTTAGTGTTCAGTTCAGTCACTTTCTTTGTCCCCCGGATGGGAAACTTGATTTGCATTGTCCAGATTGTGTCGACATGCTGTCTACACCTCAATGAGATCTGAACCCAATGCGAGCCGGGCCACCTCTGCATGTAGTCTGGCTGAGCGGATCCCAATGCAAGCAAGATCCAATCCCCGAGCGTACAGAGTTAACTGTAAATGCATCCTGTGCATGATCGGATGACAAAAGCGGAGTATAACCAGGGCCTAATGTAGACCTGGTCTTGTGCAGAACCTGCTGGTCAAAGGTAGCTGTCAAGGAGGTCTGTGGGAAACCTACAGCCACCTTCACAATAAAGCTGAGGTGTCTTTTTGTCCCTGATGTTCAGGTTATTATACCAAGCAGTAAAAGTAAGATCAGATTCAATAAAAGCCTTAAAAAACGAAGACATCAGTTCCCAGTCTACATGAAAACCATCTAACTTCCTAATGAAGAAAGAGTTGACGCTCTAAATGTGTCTGTCTTTGTCCTCAGAGTCTGAACTTCCAGAAGCTGGCGATCGAGTCCCGCCTCGGCGGCTGCACCTCCTCCGTGCTGTCCCCCGGCCAGTCCTTCCTGTCCCAGCAGCGGCAAGTCTCAAACACCCCGCGCCAGGCGCTTTCCAGCACCGTGCCTGCCGCTACCTCCAACTAGACCTCGTCAAAGAGTCCCACGTCTCACCTTTTATTCAGTCGGGGGACGATTACTCTCCCTCACTCCCTCCCACCGGCGAGCACTACAAGTGACCTTAAACACACCTGCTCTCGCAGCTCGGGGAGGGGTCACGGATCAGCTGATCAATGAGCTGATCGAACACGACCTTATTGGTCACAAACCCGAGACTACAGCACACTGTCCCACACGACACGGGCTACAGGCGGCCCTCTCACAGGACAGGAACTAACCACCTGTGTTTAAATACACTGTCCCAACCCGTAGACTTGGAGCTTATTTCCCTTCTGCCCTGTGTGTTTGCTTTGCAGCTCAGCTGAATACTTTGCAATCAATATAGCCTTCAGTCTCTTCTATCCTTTCATGATGAATGAGAGGAATGTTAACGAATGCTTCACTATTTTATTCTGAATTGTAGCCCGTAATATACATATATCTGTATATCTGTGTATCTGTATCATATATAGATATATGAATGTGACTTTTAAAAACTTGAATTCTAAAGCCAACTAACTTCAGATGATTGTTGATTTATGGAAAAGTAAACCATCACACTATGCAGTTAAGGGAGCACCGGTGTAGTCATCCTGCAGGCTGACGAAAAGACAAACGTGCTTCAGATGTCTCTGAGAGAGTGATCGTTGTATTTGGTGCTGGCCGCCAACTGCTTTAAAGCATCAGTCACATATTCTTGTTTTGTTTTTTTACTAAAATGGAACACGCTCATTATGTAAAGCTTTGAAAATCAAATAAATCACATTAGAGTAATATTTCACCCCCAACACGACCATTTGCATGTCAATTACTCCCCGTTTGTTACTTTAAACTCTTAAAGAAAACGTTTTTCTCTCATGCCTCCACGGTAAACAGGATCAGAACACTGAGTAAAGTCGTGATGAATTGAAGGAAATGGATGTCGCGTTTAACAACAACAAAACTTTATCAAAGCATCTGAACTCTCACACAACTCCTGCTGTATAAGACTCATTTATCAAGTCGTACGCTCACTTATTCCCAAACGCACGCGTCTTCATTTAAATCACTCTCTCACTCTCTTGTGGAGGGCCACTACCTGACGTGTTTCAAACAGTACGAAATCCAGGCCTTCTGTATCGACATCGTGTATCTTCTATATTCCTAAAGTGTGATTTGACTTCCTGACTGGCAGCATTGCTCTAAATGGAAACTGGCGGGCCTTATTTATTCTCTGTCTTGAATCTTATTTAGCGGTGAGAAATCAAATCTGTGAAGTTGTGCAGCTGTAATGTGAACATGATTTTAACACCAGCTTCTGACTGCAAATTGTAACTGAATTTCAATGCTGATCTTGTATTTAATCGTGGATGTTTTCAGGCTACTTTGGTGGAAGTTGAGAGTGAAGAGCTCTGTTGTAGAAGCAGGCGTTTACTTTGATGTGGGTAATTAAGTCTTAAGTTAAAAATGAGACGGGTCTTGATTACCTCGTTACTCTGTACGTTTGCAATAACACTGAAGAGGAATTCCGTTGTGGCAGTTTTGTGATCTATAAACGTGTGTCAAAGCGCTTTTCTTTTCCTTTGCAGTGGATGATTCTTGTAGATTGCCGATTCAAACGTTCATTTGTATGAAAATAAGAAGTTCAATCAAACGTAGCGCAGCATAGAGACGACGTGTTTGTGTGTAAATGAAGAAAAGTGAGGAAGGCATTATGAATTCAACATTTATAGCCTTTGGTTTTCTTGTGAATAAATCAAATAAATTCTTTTTCTAAGCGTGTGTTTTACGTTCAGTAGCATCCATCTCAGTTTGGGTCCAGTAGATGAGAAACGTGGCGATTTAAAGAAGCTAAAATCATTTCATTTCCATGCGGTTCACAAACCTTTTGACACGCAGCTGTTTATTATTTTACTCATCAATGCTTTCACATGTGACAATAAAGCAGAAATTAGCGAATGAACCCGATCAGGGTTGATTCTGCCAAACAAACTGTAGGTGATCGACTTCCAATATGTGGACATGACTTTGATCATTTTTGCTGACGTCGACTTTACATGTGTCGCCAACATGATGTCAGAGTGAACAGCAGGGTTTTCTCTGCCATCATAAGACTTGGACTTTGCGCAGACGTTTCCCCTTTTTGTGACGGAGCCCGAGAGTCCGTTTTATTTATAGCTTTGTTTGTGTGGTTTTATTACACCGGAGGCAGTTTGTGTTTGTGTTGTCTGTGAGAGAGCACGACCGTACGTCCGTCCGTCCGGTCCACTCTCGGGTTGGGATGTCTCACGAACATCCTTGGTTGCTGTGACCTCACGTCCGTCCCATTCTAGTTATATCTCCGCAACACTTTGAGCACATTTTGTCCCAAACGTCCACTTGGATTTAAGGATAGACTGATTAGAATTATATGCTTATTATGACAATTTCACACTCATTTCTAAAAGGATGTAATGATGAAGACGTTTTGGACAGAGATGTGAATGTAAACTGCAACTTAACTGGTTGGCTGAGGCAAATAACCACGAGGCCGTGATTCTAGTCTTAATAATCTTAAGACGGTAAAATCCATGGGTCTTTGAAAGGGTGTACTTTAAATAATATGCTATTATATTGTCATTACAAATGGTTTTAAAATGACAATAATATAGTTTATTTCTGGAACAATACATCATCCAACAAAAGCAGTCATTGTGACCTGTGGCCTGACTGTGAATGAGAACGTATTCGGTGAGTTTTGCTGCTGCTTGCTTACATAACGGTGTCATTATTTGAAAAACAATAACTCATCACATGTCACACATTATGTGACAAAGCATGCTATAGTTCCCTGTATATAGAACATTTCTTTATGCCACCATGTATATGTATATATATATGTATGTGTATATATGTATATATATATATATGTATATATGTATATATATATGTATGTATGTGTATATATATATATATGTATGTATGTGTATATATATATATATGTATGTATGTGTATATATATATATATGTATGTATGTGTATATATATATATAT